AAGTCCAACCAATCAATGTGAACACTAGTGTGCCAATTTGTAAGTGTGAAATGCTGTTTTTTTCCAGAGCAGGCAGATCCCAGTCTCTTCTCCTCCAGTGGTTCAAACTGGAGTGTGTTGTTGCTGATAAAATGGTTATCCTGTTTTTGATCAGAGTTATCAAACCATCCTGCTGCTTCTGGTCATCTCAGTAAGTTCCTCTCGTCTCTGACTCACTGTTTGCTATCTGTCAGAGGCCTGTACCAGAAAGAAGGTTCAACAAATTCTCAGGCTGTGTTTGGAAACTTTACTATACTTGAGTACGTACTGATTTCTCTGGCGAAATATTCAGTAGATCATCAGACCAGTCTTCCTGACTGTTTCCCATAGTGGAAAGCACCACGGTAAACCTTCATTCAGACATCAGGTCTGTTTTTTGAGTCCATACCTTAGTTACATCTGTTATATTAAGTTGACCTCTTTTCATAGGCCTAGTTCTTATAATTTGGTTTGTAAACTAGAGGTACTTATGTGCATATGACATTGATGACTCTTTTAATTATGTATGGTGAAGTCTGCCATTCTTTCCAATTACATTAATCCTGAGACTTGCAGGCAAGATTCGCTCCCTGGACATCAACCCTGATGAGAGCCTTAAGAGTTGTATGTGATGCTCAAGGAGCTCTTGGGAATGGATCCAGCCAAAAGGTAAAAGCATCCAAGAAGTAAGTGAATAATCATCCTACAACAATATTTAAGAATGTTGTCCCTGAGCTTCAGGTATCGATCAAAGAGCATGACACGGATTCAGCAACGGGGGCCAGCAAGCTGGCGATGTCTTTGTGGCTGCACGGAAAAGGGTCAACCATGGAGCTACAATGCATGGAGGATGACAAAGGACAGCCACAAACCAGCCCAACAGTTCCAACAGGGGGAAGCATCCAGTGCAGGTAAGCCTCCCATGTGGGAGGGGCCAGCCAGCTAGCAGGCCAACAAACCCTCTAGCAAAAGCTAATTTGTTATTTACGTGGATTGAAGGCCATACTAAACCATCTCAGCTAAGATGAATAAATGTGCTTAAAAACTACTTTTATATTAAAATGCAAAACATGGAGTTAATGGACCATTCTTGTGTGCTTACTCTGGGAGTGATTAGACACTGGTACAGGAAGTTTGTACCACCCAACATTATCAGCAGCAGTGACACCATCCCTATCTGTTGTGTTCATGGAGATGAGAAGCCTTATCCAACAGCTGACATCTACATTAAGGTAAAAGGTCAAATTTACCTTTTGAACATTGGGGTTGCTGATTAATCTGCCTTTGATGCTTTCTAGAAAGAACCTACCAGTTCTTTTTGATTTGTTGGAGCCAGAACAAAGCAGACAGTGTAACACTGGTAAACGGAATGCAGGCCATGCAATCCAATGAGCTCCTTTTCAATGAGGAGTTGGAGACCACACCTGGGAAGTGTCGGAAAACCCGCAGACAGAGAAGGCACAAGAAATTCCAAAAGACAGTGATGACACCACCAACCAGCACTGACCCAGAGTTACCACTAGGGTTTCAAGTTCCAGGTAATATAAATGATATGCAGAAAACTGATCCGACGGCGCCGGAAGCTTAGTTGGACATCATAAGTGATGAGAATATCCAGCAAAATGGCATCCTCTATCGTCAGCGTTGCAGCTAGTGGTTCCCCAAGCAGCTAGAAACGCCATACTTGCCTTGGGGCACTCGGTTCCCTGGGCTGGCCACCTGGGCCCACAAAACCGCAGCTCTCACTTAAAAGAAAAGAAACATTTCCACTGGCCTGGCTTGCGCAGACATGTGGCTCAGGTTTGTGTTGCCCTCAGTGCCAATCAATTTTTATTTGTATAGCGTCAACTCATAAGAAGTGTTATCTTGAGACACTTTACAAAAAGCAGGTAAAATACCTTACTCTTTGTTATGGAGTGTTTCCTCATAATGTTTCCCACATATAATGTTAAGCGAATCGGTCAATTGGTGTGCATAGAGGACTTATCATTAACATGTACAAACTGAGATCGGTCTGATAAGTAAGATTCAAACCAACTTAAAGCAGTCCCTGTAAATATTCTAGTCTGTATAATAGGATCTGATGGTGTCAAAAGCGGCACTAAGATCTAACAAGATGAGCACAGAGAGAAGTCCCCTGTCTGAAGCTAGAAGTAGATCGTTTGTAACTTTAACTAGTGCAGTCTCAGTGCTATGGTGGACTCTAAATCCTGACTGAAACTCCTCAAATAAACTGTTGTCATGGAGAAAGTCACACAGCTGATTAGCTACCACTTTCTCCAGGATCTTTGAGATAAAAGGAAGGTTGGATATAGGCCTGTAGTTGGATAGAGTTCCTGAATCTTTTTGCGTAGAGGTTTGATTACCGCTACTTTAAAATACTGTGGTACATACCCTGTCAGTAAAGACATATTGATCATATCTAATATAGAGTTGCTAACTAAGGGAAAGACTTCCTTAAACAGCTTGGTTGGGATTGGGTCTAAAAGACAGGTTGATGGTTTCGACACAGAAATAATTGAATTTAGCTCTGAAAGGTCGATTAGAGAAAAACAGTCTAGACGAATATCTGGTCCTGGAACTGTTTCTGCCGTATCAGACGTATCTGCACCAGGTAAGGGCAGGAGGTTACCAATTTTGTCTCTGATGTCTAGAATTTTGTTGTTGAAAAACCTCAGGAAATCATTACTGCTGAGGGCTAAAGCAATACAAAGCTCAATGGAGCCATGACTCTCTGTCAGCCTGGCTACAGTGCTGAAAAGGTATCTAGGATTGCTTTTGTTTTCCTCGATTAGAGAGAAGCAGCTCGAGCATGACGTAGAGCCTTCATATATTTTCTCTGACTATCCTGCCAGAATAAACAAGATTCTACCGTTTTGGTCGAGTGCCATATTCTTTAAAAATTTCGCAACGATTGTTTTAGAGTAGGGGTTTCTGAGTTGAACCATGGCGCTAGTCTCTGCCGTTTGATAACCTTCTGTTTTAGGGGAGCAATCGAATCAAGAGTAACTCTCAGTGAATCCACTGCACTATCAACAAACTGATCTAGCTGAGAGGGACTAAAGCTATTATAAGAGTTTCCAACTGGGTTGAAACACGGTACTGACTCAAAAGCAGCTGAAATAGCGTCCTTAAATCTAGCTATAGCACTATCAGAAACTTCTGGAGAGCACATTTTTATTAAGCAGAGATAATTCTGGTGGGACAAAGTCAAATGTAATAAGGAAATGGTCTGATAGAAGAGGATTTTCTAGGAAAACTGTAAGGTTTTGGATTTCAATGCCATAAGCAAGATCCAGGGTGTGGTTAAAACAATGAGTAGGTTCGTTTACCACCTGGGTGAAACCAATAGAGTCTAATAATGACATGAAAGCTGTGCTAAGGCTGTCATTATCAACATCCACATAGATATTGAAGTCATGTAACAATTATTCTATCACTGCTAAGGACTAAATTTGATTAAAAATTCAGATAGTTGGATGTGAAAGACTAAGAGCAAGGCTTTCAAAAGAAGAAAAATTCAGCTTTGGTCGAGGGTTAACGAGAAGACTAGAATTCGTCCGGTGTCTCGAGGTATATGAGTACTAAAATGACTGGGAGGAGTGGATTCATTCAAACTAACATATTCATCTCGACACAGCCAGGTTTCAGTCAAACAAAGTAAATCAATATGCTGATATCAGATCATTCACTAAAAGAGATTTGGATGCTAAGGACCTAATGTTCAAAAGTCCGCAGTGACTTTTCAGATTTTTTTTTTTTTTTTTTTTTTTTTTTCTTCTTCTTCTACGTTTGGATGAGCCGGGACACAGTACCTATAGTATAACTACAGTTCAATTCAGAATTACAGCTATAGTGACTGGGAGACAGAGCTAAGGGAGGCACAGAGAAGCATCTAAGACTGCAGCTCTGCCTCCTGGTCTGAACTCTGTGTTGTTGTCAAGGTTTTGGACTAATAACCTCTGCTATGTTTCTAGATAATAGAGCTGCACCGTCCACATTAACCTTAGTGACTTCCTACTGGCGTAGTCGGGAGTCATTAGTGCCGACATGAATTACGATTGTATCAAATCTACCTTTAGTCTTTGTCAGCAACTTTAAATAAGATGCGATGTCGCCCGCTCTGGCCCCGGGTATACACCTAACTATGCCCGCTGACTTCGCTAGCTTCACGTTTCGGACTATGGAGTCTCCAATAATCAGAGTTTTATTCTCGACGGGTGTGTCGCTAAGTGGGGAAAATTTGTTTGAAACGTGAAGTGGTTGGTGGGGAACTGTGTGCTTCGATTTTCGACTATGCTAACATCTGCTAAAACACCCCCCAGAGCTCCAATTCAAACACTACCCATTATTGGCACCCCATTTGAGCGCCTTGGGATGGACATTTTTGGTCCTGTAGACAGAAGCAAAGCAGGGAACCAGGATATGCTGGTTATAACAGACTTGGCTACCAAGTATCCAGAACTCTTTCCACTAAAATCCATCCATGCTTTCTGTTTGGTACAGTTCTTTTCAAGGGTGGGCTTCCCTTGTGAAATATTAACTGATCAGGGAACTAACTTTGTCTACTCTGCTGAAACAGGTGTACCAGTTACTGGGTATCAGGAGCCTCAGGACTACACCACGTGTTCATCAAACGGATGAGCTAACAGAGTGCTTTAAACAGATGCTCCGGAAGTTGGTAAACAACACTGGTACAGACTGGGATCAATGGCTTCCATACCTCCTTTTTTGCATACAGGGAAGTACCCCAATCCTCCACTGGTTTCTCTCCTTTTGAACTTTTGTATAGACATAAAGTTTGGGGGTCGTTGGCACTGTTGAGAGAGATCTGGGAGGTGGCAAGGGGAGGGTGGGATCTGTTACCGTTGTATCCTATATCATCCAGATGAGAGAGCGGCTGGAGAAAATGGGTGAGCTGGCCCAATCACACGTGGCAGACGCCCAGCAGCAACAGAAGTCCTGGTACGCCAGGCAGAGATTCTAAGACCCTGGACAGAAAGTGCTGGTGTTAACAAACTGTTGGCTAAATAGCAAGGACCGTTCAAAATCCTAAAGAAACTTGGGCCAACCAGGTATCGACACCAAGGCACTCACACTCCAGTAGGGTACTTCACATATATCTCTTAAAAGAGTGGGTGCAGCAACCTTAAAGCAGAAGTGATCCTAATAAGTGTGTTGGATGAGCAATACTTGCCTCTTTATTGACCTGGTAGACCATGATCTCAGTAACCAATCAGGTGGCCAATGGCTTCAGGTGAGATCTAGCTGTAATTCAGATGTTTTCCAGGAGAATCCTGGGAGAACAAATATTGTTGAACATGCCATTGTTGTCAGAGAAGGTGCTTCTGTGAGAAGATTAAGTTACAGAGTGCCTGCTGGCCTCACTGAGGAGGGAGGTTAACCTGATGCCTTCCCTGGGGATCATCAAGGCTTCAAAGAGCTAGTGGTGTAACCCAGTGGTGCTTGTACCAAAGAAGGATGGAAGCATAAGGTTCTGCATTGATTTCAGGTACCTGAATTTAATTTCTCTTTGATTCTTAGCCAACACCAATAATGTATGAACTGCTTGAAAGGCATAATACTTGACCACAATAGATCTCTGCAAGGGTTATTGGCAGATTCCTCTCACCGATCAGTCACAGGAGCTGACAGCCTCAAGGACACCATGGGGCCCTTTCCATTTCACAGTAAAACCATTTGAGTTTCACAGCGCTCCAGCAACTTTCCAGAGACTCATGGACCAGGTCATTTGTTATTTCTCTGGTTTTGCTGCAGCATATCTAGATGTCATTGTCATTTACAGTAACACGTGGGAGGAACACCTGCAAGCTGTCTTGTATCGCCTTCATTCTGCCTGGCTGACTGTCATCCTGTCGAAGTACCTAGGCCACGTCATCTTCAATGGGGTTGTACGCCCTCAGGTCAACAAAATCCAGGCCATAGAGTCCTCGCCCCTGCCACAAACAAGGAAGCAGTGCTGATCTTTTTTGGGCTATCAGGCTTCTATCACTGCTTCAAACCCAATTTCTCCAACAGGGCAGCTCTTCTCACAGACTTGACTAGATCCTGGAGTCCCAATCAGATCCAGTGGACAGAGACGGCAGTGGCAGCTTTCAGTGATATCCATCAATCATTGACTTTGACGAACATTTTCTTCTGCAAACTGATGCTTCTGACAGGGCTTTGGGAGCTGTGTTACTCCAGGGACTTCAGGATGATCGGCATCCAGTCGCTACATCAGCTGGAAACTGTTCCCCAGAGAGGTTTGATCTTTGACGGTGGAGAAGGAGGCACTGGCTATCAAGTGGGCCCTTGATTCCTTCCGGTACTACCTTCTTGCTCAAGAGTTCACCTTGGAGACGGATCACAAAAATAAAAACCTACCTTTTCTTTAAACTTACTCCTGTGTCTCGTGCCTTACTGCTTGGTCCCTAGCAGTCCCCTACAAGAGAATCCTACTCACCAGGGTAAGAGTGTTTATAAGTCACACTACAAGTGAAGGCCTGTGTCTGGTCATGAAATGTTTGTCTGATTTCACCTATGGCTTTGATGATGTCACCAGTTGTAATAATCCCAATGAATTTCATTACCTACATAAAGATGTGGCTTCTTCTTTAGGCTTTGGTAGAGAAACCATCCAGTGGTGACGGGAAGACGTACCACTATCTCCTCACACAGAAATACGAGGGAAAATATGTACACCCATTTTTCTGCCGTACGTACGTTTGATAAGTGAAGGCCAATATGTGTTATGTTTTTGTCAACAGGGATATACAATGTGTTTCTACTTGTGTAAAGAATGGGTTTTTCCACATTTCAAACTTTGCCTTATTGTTTACGAAATGAAACATAAATCTTTCTTTTTGTCATTACAGCCATAGAAAAAATGGATGTAGGATCTTTGAAAGAGGTTACCCTCTTCTGTTAGGGTTATTTTTTATTTTCTGATAAGCAGAACTTTAATCCCACCTCTCTACACATTCAGCTCCAGTCTCAAATCAAGAGAGACTTATGCTCGACCAATGATTACCACATCAAGGGCTGCAGTACAGTGGTGATGTTCAGTCTGGGCCATGAAAACACTTGGTGAGTTATTGTTTTATTACGGCGCTTGAAAAAATATTTTTCACTGGTGTATCCATGAATTAAACTGTATTGGAAGATATCCTTGCTACCTTGTTCATCTTATACGTTTATCACTGCTGTTTTTCCGACTGCATTTTAAACTGGTTTTAGCTTTAAGATATTCCCTCTGGACACCTTTGTGGACAAAATCTGTAATATTTGCTTTTGTATTTTGCTGTTTTTTCTGCTTTTGTTTTCTGGCCTTTTTCCTGCTTTTGACAGGGAACAGGTACTTAACTTTATTTGGATGCATGTCTTTGTTTCTTCCATTTTGTAAAATATTTCTATTAATATTTTATGTTCAAACTATATTATAAAATGCTCACCTTATCTCTCCAGATGCAATCATAAAACATTTAACCGGTTTCCACCGATGGCGCTGCTCTGTAGCGACCCCGGCTGCCTCGTGCTAAGAACCCAAAGTATTTATATACTTAATGTTATCGTTTGATGTGAAGGATGATGTTGATGTGTTTTTTTTTTTTATGGCTGCAGCATGGGTGAAGAGCCAAAGACAAATTTCTCACTTTGTGAGATAGTAAAGTTAATCTTGATCTTAAAACCATCCCCTGCGACCACTTCTGCTCCCTGATATTGTTTGTTCTGTTAAACTAGTTATTTGTATTTATTTATACAAAATATTAGTGTTTTTAGCATTTTATTCATGTTTGTTTAGAAGTATTTTTAAAATAAAGAAATTCTGTTAAATATAAAAATGCGTAAGTAAAATGTTCTTGCGATAAAGTCTGACTATAGCGATGTGATTGTTGCAAATCCTTTCATTGGGATAACAATGTCACTGAATTTACTCACACAGCCCTATAGCCTAGCCTGACCCGTTTTTATTTTGTTCTTTTTAAGGAGGATTATTATGATTCCAAAGAGGTGCAGAATCTCAAGTCCCTGGAAGAAATACGACTGCAGACTTTCACTTCAAGTCTTTGAGAAGGTGTGTCTTTCATGGAAAACTAATTTTACGATATACAAGTGTACGACAAGGATGAGGGCCCCGTTAAGTTATTATTTTTTTAAATTTTGAGATTACACTTGTAAATTTCCGTAATAAAACGTTTTTGTTTTTTTTAACATGACCCTAAGTGTTTGAGATTCAAACAAATCTGGAAATTCACACCCAGAAAACAAGGGCTGAAATATTGATAAAATCTAAACATATTTTGGTACCACTTAGTTTACAAGTTTTATTTTAAGACAGAGAATGCTTTGTGGTGTATCCATGAATTAAACGGTATTGGAATATATCTTTGCTGCCTTGTATATGTTTATCATGATGTTTTTCCTTTTAGGCTGTAATCATTCTAATTGAACTGACTTTGACCGGGAAGCGTACGGAGTGTGGAGTTCTTCATGCTGATCGCCCGCCACAGTGGAGAGCAGTGTCCTGACTTGTGACGAGCTTCTTCTACAGTATATCAAGGTAAAACAACACCACCAACCCTTGTGCCCTCCTAAAATGTATTTATATTTTTCTGCTGTGTTAGTTAAAGAACTTTTCACTTGCTCAACATTCAATTATTTTCAGGATTGTAACCCTTTAAAATGCAAGGTTATTAGTTTAATGGTGATTAGAGTCTTTGATATGTCAAAGACTAGCAACACAATTTATTTGATTGCATTAGTCTTTTTATGGCCAAAATCTGCAATAAAATGATAAATGTTTGCATTTATATTTTGCCTTTTTACTGCACTTTTTATGGCTTTTGACAGAGGAAAAGATCTGGACCCTGATATCACAATGTAAATCAAGTAAAAGGCAGATTAAATAACATACAGTACATAAAGGAAAGAACAAATGAAAGACAGTAAAATAAAGACACATTTAAATAGTGACATCATTATTTAAATAGAGGGGAAGGGTTTTATAATAATGCAGACATTTGTTATATTTTCTATTGTTAATTTAAAGTAGTGATTTCAGTCGGGACTTGAACTCTAGAATAAAAATTGATTAAATGAATCCACGCTCGTTTGTTTTGATTTGGAGGTGGACGTGACGTGACGATTTGCATTTAATTTCGCACAGCATTGTGGGTAAAATACAATTCATTTCCTGAAAGCACGCAGCCGATCCTTACTGCATAAAACCAGGAAGTTAGCATCCATACTGAAATGTTCAGTATACTGAGGTGGACCCAAAAAATGTCTACTGAGAAGTACTGACTACTGAACTGTGGATATTCAGAATGGGCCTGTTAAAGAAACTTTATTGATTTCCCCCCCCCCCCCCGTGGGGGAAATTTGTGAAGAGAGGAGGGTGCACCGTTCCCGGAGGTACTGCAATACCGGGTCGGAGCAAGCCCCTGTTCCATCTCCCAAGTCCAAAAATCAATTTAATATATGGTCCCCGGGTAGGGGACGTATCAGATATTAAACTGATAAGAACAGATACTACACTTGATCGTAGCCAAAAGGCAGCGAAGCGGCTTTGTTTGCCTGCCAGCCATATTTTCCTGCTTAGCTCAGCATCTGTGGTAAATGGACTTGAGCTTATATAGCGCTTTACTAGTCTGGAAAAATGGCTAGTCCTGTGCAATTAGCATTAGCCACGATTCTAACAAGATGCAGGTAAAATGTCATATGCCAATGCTAATCAGTTAGCTTTTGTGTTGTGAAAAATGTAGCATCCATTCCGGCTTTTTGTGATCTGTAAAAGCAAAAGTTTGGCACCATGAAGGGTGAAAGTAGCTTAGCCACAGTATGTAAATGAGTAAGGAATAGTTTAATGGAAGTTATGATGAAAGTTTTTCCTCTTTTGTTAATTTCACTCTTTTGTGGCGTCACACAGAACTTCAGTGTTTCATAGTACAGTTATTACAATATATTGTCCAATAAATAAAAAGCTCAACAGTAAATTGATAAAGAAAATCTTTAACATTTTTTGTAGTACATCAGAGCTAATGGAAAATTGAGAATAAAAACAGATGTTATTTTAATACTTGGTGTTCAATGCAAAGTGCTTAAATTGAGATGAAGCCTGTGTTGATGCTGACGTGCATGTTTATCTTTATAGGGTGGTGTGACCTGTCTGTAAATCAGGTTTTCGTAAAAGGTGGATTTTGGGCTCATCCAGAAGACCATTCATCGACAAGAGCATCCACCATAGAACTGTGAGCAGCTAACTGGATAGTGAGCCCAACCTTCAAGACCTCAAGTGGGATTAAAAAGACTGTTTCTTCTAAGGAAGAACTTCCTTTGCTACTTCATAGAGCACAGATGAAACACACACCTGGATTGAGCCCCAATGAAAAAGACTGGGCTTAGACACTTCAAATGTTTGTTTTATTTCATGTGCATGTTTATTAAGTTGTTAATTGTATATTGTAATCTTGATCTGCAATATTTGTGTTCCTTACATACAAAGTTTGAAAATGTATTCCTGTGTGCATCTCTTGACTGGTATTCAGACCTTGGGCTCCAGGAGTCCTACTTCTCTGATGTTTGTCCACCTTCAACACTTTATTTACATTAACATGGGTTAAAAACAACTATGCTTTTCCCCTGAATTTGCTCAGATATGTTGGTAGCTATGACACACCAAATGTTTTCATAATGTTGTTAGCAGTTAAAGATAATACTTGTATTTGTAGTAGCGTCTTTTTACCAACTGTTTGAATGGAAGTTCAATAGACCTCCTTTTTGTTTCTCCGTTTACTTGAAAGTTGGACCCTGTTCCCACTGAGCTGTTAATAAGTGCATAATAAAGTATTTAGTAACCTTTATAAGGCATTAATATGAACCTAATAAAGTCTTATTAATGTCAATAAACATCTTATGAATGTTGATAAGTGGTCTATGAACAAGTTTCTTTGTGTTAATTAATATCTTACAACCCAATTATACATGAATTTATAGTTTAATTAACACTCATGAAGTCTTATTAATGTATATAAAGTGTCTGTACATTTCTAATAAGAGCCTATAAGTGTCTTATAAGACATAATAAATGGGTTAAGTATGCCTATATTAACACTTATATAGTCTTATTTGTGTTAATAAGAATCTAATAAGGTCTTATAAGTCACTTATTAACTGTTATTAATGCTTATTACAAGCACCTTAATATAAAGTGTTACCAAGTTTATTAGTTACAAAGAAAGAATCTGTTTCTTCCAGAATCTTTTATAGGACATGAGAAAGAAAATGTTTAATGGGAAGTTGTAGCTTTTGCAAAGCTTCTGGGGTGAGCATTGTGAGGCAGACCTATGTTGTGTCCCCCGGGGGGTGATCCAGGAATATTAGTTGCCAGAGATGTTGCTACACGCCATCTTGTCCGCGTATGACCAAAGGGAGAGCTGTGCATCCTCACAGATTCTGTTTGTCATTTCCATGGAAAAGATCTGAAGGTGCAGCCGGGTGGAGGAGGGTTTCTAGTTTGGGTTCCCTTAAAATCGCGTCGCTACTTTTTGCAGATGATGTTGTTCTGTTTTTGCGTCTTTTATAGACGGGACCTCCAGCAGGCATTGGGGCGGTTTGCAGCAGAGTGCGTAGCAGTTAGGTTGAGGGTCAGGACCTCCAAGTCTGAGGCCGTGGTTCTCTGCTGGGTTTGCTCCCCCCGTGTGGGAGTTTAAGGGGGCGCAGGATAGCCAAGTGGTTATGTTGCTTGCCCAATGTACAGAGGCTGTAGTCCTCTTTGGAGGTTTTCCGGGCATGCCCAACTGGGAGGAAACCATAAAGATGATGGGATTATGTATCCCATCTGGCCTGGGAATGCCTCCAAATCCCCCAGGAGGAGCTGGAAAACGTTGCTGAGGAGAGGGATGTCTGGGTCGACCTGCTGAGCCTGCTGCCACCAAAACTCAGCCCCTGATAAGAAGAGGAAAATAAATGGATGTATGCATGGGCATAACCTGAACATTCATGGAGTGTAGCTTTTAATTTAGAAGAGTTTTCATCTAAAATTATAATTCAACTTCACTTTTAACGTCTCGTTGAGATTAGTCAGAGCACACGTATGCAGAGGGATCCTGAACTTTAATTTTATTCTAAAATGAAACACACAAAACGATCGACCACAAAGTTTTAC